TAACAGGTAATGAGGTAATGCTGAAGTATTAAAACAGCCATCATGAATTTTGAATATTAATAAACTTGTCTAAAAATACTTTATGGAGGCTTTTGCACAAACCCCCTTAGCACCTAGTTTGGACTTCTCTTTTGGAGGCAATGGACAAAACTAGGCATCACTTGGATGACCTACCTTACTCTAGTGTTACACCTAGAAATGACAACTACACACTTAAAACAACCTGTGTCTTTGGTCTTAACAGACGCTTATTGACTGTATTTTAGTGCACAGTGCATGGAGTCATTCAGGTAAAACAAGAGACTTAAAGTAAGACCTGCATATGCATCCGTATGACCTACAACACTTTATTGTTACACCTAGAAATGACAATCACACTCTGACAACCACCTGTGTTAACATATGCTCATTGACTGTAGTTTATTGCACATGGCATGGAGTCATTCATGTAGAAACAAGAGACTTGGAGCAAGAGCTGCACATGCATCCTTCCCAAAGGTGACTTACATAATGGGTTCAATAGTGATGATGTTATCATTTTTGTTTGCCCTGCTCACACCCTGTACGTGCATGTTTGTGTGAGACTATGTAAAGATGTGTTTGGACATGCACCTTGGACTACCACCATCCATTACTGTACAAAAAAGAAAAAGAAAGGGAAGAGTTCTGTAAAGGCAAATATAGCATAGCTGCAGGAGACGTGGGCCACACACACACACACACACACACACACACACACACACACACACACACACATCTGGCTGTCTTTATAAGCTCAAAGGCATGCTATGTAAATTATATGGTGCCAAAGCAAGTGGCTCGGGAGTACACACCACTTTTAAAACACTGATGGAGGATTTAAAGGACCAAACGTCAGAGTTGTAGGTTCCGCCTTCGTCCGTGTTTTCATCACTTCATGGTGAGGCTTGTTAATAGTTGAGTCACAAGGTGGTTGGGTTACATTTCTAATACGTGTCTGATAATTTCCACTAAATGTTGCGCTCTTTGTCCTTCTTTTATATTTAAAAGCTTAAGGAATGTGCTCCTGAAATGTTACGCTAAGGACCAAAGGCATGTTTTGTTTACCTTGTGCATGGTAAGACTGTAATACGTGTTTACTGCATAATGCGAGGCTGCATGTTTACAGGAAAAGTGGCCATTGTTTGTGTAGCCAGTGGTCATCTGAGTCTAAAGGCCATTTGATTGCTATGTGGGGGAACACACCTGTAATTTTGGTCAAGGGCTCGCGCTGTAGCACAGGAAGAGAGAGAGGGAGGGAGGGAGGAAAGTGACTGTTGTTATTGTCGTAGCGGTTTTAAGTGAAGGCCAAGAAATTTGCAAAATTCCTTCAAACTCCTGTTGTTCTGCAGATAAAAGACGAAGACCTCCTTCCTGTTTCTTACAATTTCAGTGATTTTATTAATACATTAACAAGGGCTTGTTTTTGTGCAAATGCTGTTTTTGCTATATTTTGTACCGTTATGGATCTATTATACTTTAGCTATATCATCCTAAATCTTATTTTATTTATTTACCCTATGTCTGACACAATTAATCAAATACAAATTTGACAAACAAGGAATCTTTGGAGTCCTCTGTCAATCAAAAGTGGCAGAAACCTTTTGGTTTGTGCTTTTGAAAAGTGACCATATAATAGTTTTTATCTTACTAAATTGAAAATATGTAAGTGTTTGTCAGACAAAGCAAACAACTTGAAGATGTCACATGTGGCTAAATGAACATTTGATGGGCATTTTCAAGTTTTCTGACATATCAACAGATTACTTGTGAATGTCCTTATTTGAGGCTCTAAATGCAATAATTGCTTCTGAATGTCATGTTAGTTTTAGCAGTTCTGCTCGAAAAACAAGTAATTATTTATATGAATGACATAAAAACCTGCTTTTCAGGAGCGTCAAAATAAAAAAAATGTTTTAAAAAACAAAGATCCTAATAACTCAAAACTGTTTAATTTACAATAATGTGCAAGCTGGGTTTAAGTATGTGTCTGATCAGTGTGTAAGAGTTGTGTAAGTGCTGTGCTCTCTGGCAGCCCGGCAGACAACAACAGAGCAGAGAGCGTGCCGCAACATGCCCAACTCTCCCACACTACACCTGAGGCAGCTTCCAGGTGCTGCGGCCGGTCGAGTTGTCAATCACAGCTGGTCCCGCCCCCTACAGCAGGACAGACCCCTCTCCTTCTGACTATCCCAGGAGTTAAAAGCTGTGACTTTCCTTGTAATGTGGCTCACATATGGTGTAACTGTACACATTTTATAGTATTTTGAGAGGAAGTGTCTCTTCTCTCCTAATAGAGCATCAAGCAGAGATGTTTTCCATTTGATCTCGAGTTTTAAAAGTGTGAATTTTCCTTTCCTCACGGCCATTATGTGTCTTGGATACAGCCGGATGTAAGCAGTAGCAACCCCAAAGTGTTGTTGCTTTCATAGGCCTGTAAACTGTGAGCTATTGAGGTCCCTGTTAGTGTTAGTGCCTGAGGTTCAGCTGTGAGAAAACACTCAGTGGCTTTTTCATGATGGAGCATGTGTGTGTGTTTGTGTGTGAGGAGCTGTGTATGGTTGTGTGAGTGTGATGTGGTTCCCAGGAGGAGGGGGCATGGAAAATGTGAACAGCACCGCGGTTTGGCTTTGGAGCAGACATGGCGGCCGACGCTTGTGTTGCTTTTGTGGAGGTGGAGAGGGCCGCTATCAGCCTCACTGTCCATCACTCTTTCCATCCATCCCACCCCCGCCCACCCCTCATCCTGAACAACTGTGCCAACATGATAAGAGCCTGAGAAACGCTGGTGTCACACCTCTTTTCCCCCTGTATCCTGTGTGCTCACTTATCTAAAGCCTTTATTTTATCAATCAGGACACTCGCACATAAATACACAAACACTGCACTTTTTCTCTCGGCCATATCTATGAAACTCTCCCGGCCTTCATGTCATCAATCCACAGATTTCCGAGCCACAGGATGAGTCGGCAGAGCTACTTCATTGTTGGTTTGGAAAACCCTCTTTGATCCTCCCCCCCCCTTCATGTTTTATTGACAGTGTTTACATGGCAATGGCAGCCTGAAACAATGAGCAATACCATCTATTGCTGTCACCTGTGGCACAGTTCTGTAGCGATTATTATTGTCTTCAACTCTTTTGGGTTTTACGATATTTAGAGTAGGGTGCTTTTAGACTTTCACTATCAGGGCTGCTTCAACTTAGGAATTCTAAGGCTACTAACTTCCGTACGATTCTCGTCGTTAGTTGATATTATTTCTCCCAAAAGACCAATTTAAATGTTGTGTTTATCCGAATTGTGCTAATAAGTTTCTTGAAGCATGACTACATACAAATATTTCACAACAAAACAACCAGTTTAATGACAAATTGACAATACTGTTGGACAATGACATTATTTACTTGGTTAATGGGAGGACAATTTGATTTTCTATAACAGACAGTGATAAACCAACATTTGACAGAAAGGCAAACTCTTATTGCATATGCTCATACATTAGATGAGCTAAATGCATCACATGGGCTTTGAATCAGGATTTCATCAGGACTTTCAAATTATTCTATTATTAGGAATATATAGTGGATGTTTTAAGAGCACAACTGCAAGAAATTCTTAGATGTTGCATTGATGTTGACTGAAATGTCCTTGAACACATTTTTTATTTTTTGACTATTGTTTTACTTTTCAGTGAAGCTTTGTGATTTGAACTCACAGTTGAACCCTTTTATCTGTACGCAAGTGTATATCTGTGTGTGAGAGTCACACGTAAGGAAATGGTGTGTGTCTCTGTCAAGATACAGACGAGGCTCCTTTGCTGTCTGGGTGTCACCTCTGTGTGAAAATACAATTACTATTCAACTGGTGTCTTGTTAGCTTGTTTTTACCCTTTTTTTTTAACATGAAAACACCATAACAGTAACACAAATAAATGTAACATGACTAACAAATGAAACCGTATGTTTGTTTCATTTTCTTTTGAGACTTTACCCCAGTTAGCATTGTCCTTCATTAAGTGCCCTAAGTAGCTGCATAGCAGAGGCTCCTTTTTTGTAAGTCAATCTCCAAGTTGCACTTTTGTATTGTACCAAAGAACTCGCTCAACCTTTTGGGTTTATATACGTTCTTTGATGCTGCTTATCTCCAGACGCAGCCCCGATGACTTTGTGGACCTCAGTGCACATCGACCAGCGAATGATTGTCTTTTACACAGGTTATGGGTTTAGGATGCTTTACATATACAACAGTCAGTGTAGAGAACAGGGTGGACAGAGAGAGGGCTTTGTCAATCCCGTCAGTGCCAATGTTTCACCTGTTAGTACTCCGAACAACCCTCTTGACTCTCTTTGAGCAAGAGGTGAGAACTTTCCATTTCCCACGGTCATGTCTCAAGTGTTGGAAGTGCTGCACTGTAGCATTTTTCATGCCTGACGCCAAGCTGCTGGCATCAAACATTGTATCAGGTTTGCTCTGTCTTGCAACCCAGATAATATGGCCAATTTTAGACCATAGCGGATCCTTTTCCTTCTCACAGAGTTTTGTTCAACAGCTCCTGAAGGTTCTAAATATATGGGTTGCATATGCTGAAGTGTATTTTCATTTGTCTGTCAACAGTCACAAAGTCTATTCCCTCATAACTGTAGTTCCATGCTCCTCACGTCCCACTTGTAATGCAGACCTGAGCTGAGGAACCACTGTTGAGGAGAAACGTTGTGTGCCACCCCGCATGAAGTCATCTACATGGCAGGCAACAACCCCAGCAACAGAACACTCCAAATCTAGCCAACAGAAAACAGCTGGATCAACTTGAGACATTTTTCCTCCTGTTGTCAGCACTATTTATTTTACTATATATAAATATAGATATACCAGTACAGGGAGGCATCAGCCAGAGCATGGCATCAGCAGAATTATCCTTTACTTCAACATTGTCAACTATTTGACATACTTCACACATTCACTAACAATTCTTTGCAAGGTGAATCATTCTGTATCATTGTTTCCTGAGTCTCTGTATCCTGTCAGCAGGAGCATGACCATATTGTTTATGCACCTTCAGCAAGATTATTTGTTTAACATCAGAGCTTAATTTTTCTGAGATTGCTAGTATTTCATCCTTACAGTACGTTTCTTCATGCTTCTTTTTATTTTTATTTAAGTGTAATCTTTTGGAGTTGCCAACACCTGTTCATCACTTTGAAATATATTTTTTTGTTGTTCATAATGTTCACACTATATCGACCAGAGCTTGTCAAGTCAAGTCTCACAGGTTTGTTGAACATCACTGCCCTGTCATTTTCCATATCTAGACACCTCCAGCTTTCGTATGGCGTCCGGTTGTCGAAGCCTGGTGGAACTCTGTAGTTACCAGCCATCCTCTGCTACCATTCATCGATAATAACACAAACTTTTATCTTAACACAACTCTATCCCATGTTGGGATACTGTTCAAACCCAAACGTAAACGCCCCACTTCCGGTAACACTTCAGGTTCTTCACAATAAATGTGTGAACATATTAAACATTAAAGGTCACCTATCATGCTATTTTTAGGCAATAGCATAGGTCTCAGATATATAAAAAACATGTCTATGAAGTGTGTTGCTCAAAATACCAAACAGATCACCCATTCTAGCCATGCCTCACATCCCTCTATTTCACTTCCTGTTTCAAAAGTGCTGATTTGGGGTATAAAGCTTAAAAAAAAAATATATATAAAACAAAAGGAGGGGGCTGAGCTCATGCAGGAGATTCTACCGGCAGATACTGCAGTGATGAAACGCCATATCATGGATTATCAAGGATTATTNGTGTGTGTGTGTGTGTGTGTGTGTGTGTGTGTGTGTGTGTGTGTGTGTGTGTGTGTGAGAGAGAGAGTGTGTGTGTGTGTGTGTGTGTGTGTGTGTGTGACACACACACACACACACACACACACACACACACTCTCTCTCTCACACACACACACACACACACACACACACACACACACACACACACACACACACACACACACACACACACACACACACACACACACACACACACACACACACACACCTAATGTCGGAGAACTTTGCTGTGTTGTCGTGCCTGTCGATGAGACTGAGGAGGATCTGCAGCACCAGCAGCCGGAGCTCTGGGTCCTCGGTGAGGGAGAAGGAAAGCAGCGGCTCCAGGAAGGAGCTGGGCAGCGCCGTCAGCATGTTGGTGGTCTGGAAACCAGCTGTCACCTGGGAGATGGATGGTAACAAGTTAGTAGAGGTTAACACATACATCATTTATATTCCTGCTGAAAATAAGGGGGTTAAAACGGCTTTAAACTACCCCATGAGAGTCAACTGGCTGTCATTTATGGCTTCAAATGGGTTTTACTAAGGGAATTGAAATCGACCTTGTTTGAAAAATGGCTCAATGGTATGATTTCTTCTGTATACTTGGAAGAGATAAGGAATTGTTTATAGCCGAAATGAAATTCTCAGGCCATAAGAGTGCTGCCCAAAACACACATGGTTTGTGAAAAGTAATTTTCTCGAGGGCTGAGATAAAGTTTGAAGGATGACAGCTACTGAGGAGGATCACCTTGACGTATTGTAAATTCCATAAAAACTACTTGTGGCGCTATTATATAAAGTACTTTCTTAGAGTGAGAAAATGCACCAGTAACACAGGGAGGCTTCTCCTGCTTAAAAGGTTTGTAAACAATGTTTTTTGTATGATTAATAATGCAGAGCTGAAAACATACCTGGACCAAGGACTTCAGTAACATAACCTGGATCATCCTCGTCACCTCGGGCCTGCAGATGAAAACAAATGAAGATATATGAAAGAGAAGAACATAAACACATGCAGTATTCAGTTTACTGGGCATACGCTGCACAAAGAGAGCATGTGTTCGTGAGAGATTTGCGAGTAACTCACCCAGAGCCTATGGAAGTGAGAGCTGGGTGAATCCCGGGGACGGGAATCTTGCCCATGATGAAGAGCATGACCTCTGACCTCTGGTATGTCGGTAGTGTGTTGGCAAAAGAACCTGAAAGTTAGAACATTTTTGGTGAATATTTGTGTGTTTGACGATTACTGGCAGCAGAGGTCGCGTTCACCGAACATTTTTAGTCTATGACGGTATTTTTTTTAACAATGACGGAAAAATCTGAAAGCAGTCCGTTATTTTGACAGATTAGAACAAACTCGGAACAGCGCCAAAGCTTCCCCGCAGCGAGGCTCCGGTGTTATGCCTTGTTATGCCTGCCCGCAAAAAAGGAATTGATATAGTTTCCAAACCGTACAAATCAACCTTTTACGATCCTGTCAGTCAAAATGACGGGCAGCGAAAAAGTCTAGCGCCACCTCTGACTGGCAGTGAATGTAGGGGGGTTACTTGAGTCGTTGCTATCGCTTTTTTTGTTGTTGTGTTTTTCGTTCTTTCTCTTTGTATATATAATCAGTGCAAACCCTTGTCTCATTTGAATATATGCTTATACTTTGGTCCCTATGGCTAAATAATAGCATATTGTGTAGGCACTTAACCTTGGTTATGCGTTGAAGAAACTTAATACAAATATTTTTGAACATAAAAGAACCTGAAGGTAAAAGAGAGATGAGAATGAGAGAGATAGGAGGATATTGGAGCAAAATACAAAAGAAGGAAAGATGTGCAAAAGGAGAGAAAATGAACACTCACTGGTGTCCACTCATAAAGGCAGACACAGACAAAAGGAACAATTATTGGAGCCTGTCTTGCAAAGCCTCCCACACACACACACACACACACACACACACACACACACACACAGACAGAGGACAGACACAGGGAGGTCCCGTGAACCTATGGTGAGAGATAACCTCCCCTTTCTGGAAACGTCACGCAACGAAGTTTAGTATTCATTGAGGGAGGTCCAATCACTATGTCACAGGTGATGCTGCAGGAGTAGTGGGGAAAAGAGAAGAAAAGACCAGATATTAGGTCTAGGTTCATCCTTTAATGAGATCATGGTATAAACATAGAATTCAAAATAGGTGCAAATTTCCCCGATAGCTTATACGAGTTTAGGTGGACACTACCGAAATACCTCTGTATACCAGGGTGGTTCGATAGCGTGGTCAAGAACTGGAAAACTAGTACTGAACCACATACAATGTCAAATGTGTGAAAAGATTAGGGTAGAAAAGGAAGTCAAAGACAAATAAACTAAATCAAAAACCAAATTAAGGAAAAAGAAGACGGGAGGGCAGAGTCGTGAGCAGGACCAGAGGTCGTCAAGAGCCAGGGAACTGCGATTGTCGTTCTGAGTCGGTGTCACGCTCGCCCTATCACCTTCACAAACGACTCCCGTCGCGGTACGTCCGGTCCCGAGGCATCCACTACTCAACCTGTGTGTGTTGGGTGTTGTGTGTGTGTGTGTGTGTGTGTGTGTGTTGTGTTGTGTGGGTTTGTTTTGTGTGTGTGTGGTGTGTGTGTGTGGTGGTCGTGTGTGTTGTGGTGTGTGTGTGTGTGTGTGTGGTGTGTGTTGTGTGTGTCTCAAACTTGATCACAAAACTACTCAGTGAAACGTCCAGGGTGTCACCGACCTCCACATTTGGTGGGACCGAACGCCGTCGACAAGACTCACACCTGATGCCGACTGGCCGAAGATCGCGTCGTGTTGTAGCCGTGGTCTAATAGTTTCGAGGCCTCCTCTCCCCGTCGCGTCCTCCGACAATAGTCCTGGTGCCACGCCAGACACACACAACAACACACACACACACACTCACACACACACACACACACACACACCACACACACGACACACAACACACACACACACACACACACACACACACACACACACACACACACACACACACACAACACA